CGTGCCAGTCAAACAAACTGGAATAGATGAATTTCTGTAACTGAATCTCGGACGACAATGGCTTGCTGTTGAGTAATGTTGGAAATAATCTGCTCGCCTCTGGTTGTCAATTGCTTTTTCACAATCCACTTGGCGAAGCCGTTGGGGTTAATTCCCAGCATCTCGCATGCCCGCACAAGGGAAGGTTCCGACGGCGATAACGACGAATCCGTCCTTGTACCAGTAATCTTGACCTTTCCGAGGTGCAAGAGCGCAGCTAATATCCGGAAGATCTCGGTTTGGGTGTCCGGGGGAACGCCAATGGTAGCGAGCGACTTCTTGGTAGCTTCCAATTCGGCCTTATCATCGACGCCGTCGATCACTGGAGTGCCTCCTTGGTTTAGATAGTCAAATTCCTCGATCGACAAGAGATTTAGATCTTGTCGTTCTGACTCCGTAGCACCGGCTACTAGTTGATAAAATATATGGTAATTTCTCTCCTTCAACGGCTGGAAAACCAGTCTCGACCGTTCTAAAAGGTATGTTCTAATTTTTGCTCCAATGATATTTGTTTTCGAGTCAAACATGATCTCGATGTATTTCCCAAATCGTGATGAGTTGTCATTACGGGTCGTTTTCGCATTACCGAATGCTTCCATGACGGGATTCGTCGCCAGGATTTGTTCTTCCGTTTTGCTAATCGAATCTGCCCTTCCGGTGGCATAGGTACCAGGTTCATCCGGCGTTCCTCGTGTTGCAAAGTAGCGCATGATATACTTTGCACTCACAGTTTTTCCAGCACCAGATTCTCCGGATACCACGATCGTCTGATTTCTCGAGTCTCGTAACATATCCCTGAAGAGATTTTGTAAGTAGAAATAATGACACAGGCTGTTTGAGGATCCTTACGCGAAAGCCTCCTCAGCAATGGCGAAGAGATGTGGTGCTTGTGAAGCTCGCTGCTTTCCAGCATAGACTTGGACCATTTGTGGCACATAGAGCGAGTCGACACGGGCGAAAGGATTCGTTGCAATTAGCACGATGCCACTGTATGTGTATATCTCCTTCTGATAGTAACGTAGTTTAATTGCTTGCAGCACTATAGATGTATTAGGTGCCAGAACCTGTTATCACCTACAGCAAGGCCAACATACCAGCAGGCTCGTTCAGGTGCGATAAGTTTGTCAGGTCTTCGCTGGCTTCTAGCATTGCCGGATTCATTAACGGTGGGAGACTCGAATTATTATTAATTTGTAGATCCGCCTCCGTCGTTTCGATCGTTTTTGTCTACATTCGATGTATCTCGGTCAGTATACCGTAATACAAGCGACCATGACGAGTAGAGGAAATGCACACCTCTCCGTTTTCCAAAGAGAATACCAGCTTCACTTTATCACCATCCACCACCTTCTCAACGACTTCCGAAGCAACCCATCCTTCTGTTTGGTCGGGTTGCCACGCCCGAGTGCCAACCGCAAAGTTATGCGCCATTCCGCCGGTCTGGGGATAGAAGCTCAAAAAACGACAGTCAGGCAGCACCTAGGATAGAAATTCTATACAGATACGAGGGTCATGGGAATAGCAACATCAGCTTTTAGCATCCACATCTAAAGAACCGGGGGCGCAACGGGGACAGTCAATGAATGGCAAAGAAGTGGACTAAAGATTAAGAGCGTCCCGGAGAGGTGCATACACCTTGCTCCTGTTGAGGGTGCTTCAAACGACTGCTGCCAGTTTGGGAGTGCGAAGACAGAGGTTGTGAGAGCTTGGAATCTTGGAAGAAATACCCCGGGAGCCGAGAGAACTGAAGAGACGGCTGTCGAGTAAGCGAGCCTAAAACCCCCTGAAACAGCGAACGGTCCTCTTGATGCTGGGGTGAAGCTAAATTACCACTTCATGCTGTGTTGGGGCCCATCTCAAACCCGCCATTCCAGATCCAGCCTGGGCCCTCACGTGATATCGCTGTTTTGCGCTCTTTTTAACCCGATGTGCTGGCAGGAGGATCAGACGGCCGATACGGATTGGCCATTGACGAGGCGTGAAGAGCATTCATGGTTACAATGATCAGCAGGGATTAGTTACAGGACGATGCTCCATCTAATGTAGCTAGCTACCGACTTGATAGAGAAGGGCATCCAGTACCTACGCATACCCGCTTGATTGACGGTCAATAATGCCAGAACTTTTATTCAGCGATTTCAAGAATAGGAATAATTAACATGTCATGACCTTCTCATGAGTTTGAACGTAGAGGTAGCAACAAATAAGTGACACAGGCAATTTCTAATGCACGCCTCACGCCAAGGGAGCTCTGACTAGCACTCGTGTTAAAGACCCGATCCTCCAGTCTGATGGAAAGCACGAAACAGGGAATCCGGGCAAAAATAGTGGTGAACATGACTTAAGAAGCCTTTGTAGCTGTGTGATACCAGTTTAAGGGCAAGTACGGTGGATTTGTAGGGTTGCGGATGGGGAATTAAGGACGAGGAGAACGATATTACACTCCATATTGGTTTAAAAAGGGCAATATTTCGATAAGAAGGACAATGCGGTTATCAAGGATGAATGTTTGGGTCTTCAAAGGGATGCACCACTCGAAACTGAAGATCGTAAAATCGGGCCAATTCGCAAACGCTGCCACAAG